AATTTTTAATTCTCTTTCGAATGGTGTATCGTTTGCAGAGATGAGCGTGATACTTTTTGAGTTATAGCACATTTTACAAAAACTACCTGTGCTGAGATACCGGTGCTCGCATAAAATTATAACTTAGGCAGGTTATATAGGCTTAAAAACCATGTTTCTCATATTTATATTTTTTATTTAAATTATCTGGTTCAAAAATAAATGAACTTTTACTGACTACATTTCACCTATCAAAAATTTTGCATAACCCTAATATATTCATAAATAAATGTCTTATAGATATGAAACTCATTGTTTGTACATGGTAAATGGCCCCTTACTATAATTATAGACATTAATTAGTTTAATTTACTAATTATCTTACCATTTAATCAAAATCCACTATTTAAACAATTTAGCATATTTTATGTTCAGCCTGACAAAATAAAAATTGTATTATGTATTATATTACTTTATTTGAACACAATTTTGTGAATTTAAATGAAAATAATTTAAATTATAATATATATAATGATGTGATTGCAAAGTTTGATTACACAGCTTATACTGTAGTTCATTATTAGTAACTCTGTTGTTATATTATATTAATACATATAAATCAATTCAAATACCTAGATAATTATATTTAAAAATTTATTCATTTGAGCATCACCTAGAAAATTACAATATGAAATTATTAATTATTGTATTTACTTTTGCAGTTTGCTATGGAAAGCACACTGATAAGTAAGTTTGTGATTGTTTACATTTTTTTAATAAAATAATTTTACATTTTAGTTCAAACGTGTATATCAATGATCAACCAAATAAACAAGGTATAATAAATTTTAAATACTTTAAATAAATTATATGACTTATTATAGAAATTACAACTGCTAAACCTGACACCACTACCAGTCCCATTGAGCAGGTATAAAAATATTGCACCTATACATAAATCAAAATTAACTTAATATTCGTTATATTATAAATTAATTTAAAACTTAGCCTGCTCGCAATACTGACCTTGATTCAGTGAAGCCCAAACAAAATATAACCGATGAACAAATGGCCATGATGGATATGATAACACCACTGCCCAAACCACATACAACTACACCATGCACAAATATTACTGTTACATTAAATCTTGTAAATCATAAACCTCTATCTGAAAGTATTAGTATATTTTTGAAATAATTTACAATATTTAAAGTTTATACTGGTTCATTTAGGTGTCAAGCAATCATTACCGGCATGGCAAAAACGACCTATCTCACAAATACCTATTGAACAGCGCGTATCGTATGGCCATAAGATTAACGGTAAAACAGTATATGTTTGTCGCATAAAACAAACATCAAACTTACTACCTGGAAAGGTACCTGGTTAATACCTATTTTTCAGTGAATACAAAAATTTATAATCAATATCTTATTAACATTCCAGATTGATCCTGCTGAAAATATATGTCATGGCAGTGTAGGTGGTATTGAATTTAAAAACTCGGTTTACGAGGTGCTAACTAGTTCATGCCCTGAAAATTTGAGCTGGTCAAAGTATACTAGTAGTGGTGTACCTAACGGCGCTATATATGGTGGTCAAGAGCACCCAGGTGATGAAAGTTACCCCGGTGGTCTAGAGGGTGAGACTTACATTACCCGGGCTAATGTTGGTGGTAAATGGGTGGCCGGTAAAATGCATGTTAAACAAAGAGGGCTAATGTGGTACATGTACAATGGTGGTGAAAAGTATCACTATGGTGAATTTGAAATTCTTGTATTTAAAGTGTAAAACAAATTATTTACTTTTTAATTTTACTAATTTAAATTACTAAATTAATTATACTATTTGTATTAATTAAAAGTTTTAAGCACCATTTTATATTTTGTTAATTATAAAATTTTATTTTAATTATCTTTGTAATCAAAATTAACAAATACTAATAAAAAATTTTATTGCTAGCACCTTTATAGCCATTAATAATTTATAAACATCGTAATCATGGTTTTGAATATTTAATTTTTTATTTTATATAAATATCCATCACAATATTTTGTGTGCAATACTGAACCATACGTTCAATAGTTTTGTCCACAACTATAGTATCAGTCATTAGCTCACAAATGTTGGTAAAAATATACATTTTTCGGATTAAGTATGTATTCTGTGTAATGAAAATTTTTAATAAATTATATTCTAATAAATGAAATGCTAATATTGTATAAACAAACATACCTGTGTCAAATTAAAACACTTATCACTAAATGTTTGGACAAACTTGTAATAACAGTCCCTATTATTGAGCGCAAGTTTGGTATTCAGTATAACATTAGCTCCCAATCCGGTCAACCCCTCAATGTTCTGTAGGTATTGACGTAAATGGTTGTCCGCATACTGTCGACCCCATAATACTTGTTTTAATTCATGGGTATATCTAATGATTAAAAATTATTAATGTAACAAAAATTAAGCTCATTTTTGTTTTATAATTTACCGTATTTTCTCGCTAACACTTGATGCGGTTTTAACATTTATTTTGGCTAATTTTATTGTTACGTCATTCATGGACACGTACTCGCATTTATTATGTGACCTATGTACAATAGTTGAATTTGACACCTGTTTAGGACCTGTGTTAATTTTTAAAAATATTTGTTTTGCATTAAATAATATTGAAATAATATAATTTATATTAATATTAGTAGTTACCAAAAAAATCAGACAGTAGCATTTGACCTATCGATAAATTTCCGTAATGTTGAGCCTCCTCCAGGGTACCATTTGCCACAATTAAACCCTGGATATGTTTATGAGATGCTAGGTATTTGAATTGTGTCTCGATAGTTTCCGTATTAAAATCTTTGGTCTCACTATCCATATACCAGTAATTACTAAAGTGACCACCTACAATTAATTAATTGAAATTATTATTATTCAATCTATTAACTGATATTGAATTATATTACCCAGCATAGCCTTACGATGATAATCGTAGCAACATTGCCAACTTAATTGATCAGGCTTAGATGACGCCACCGCGTATACATCAATATTATTTGGTAATACTTTATCAAACATAGATCCTGGTAAAATAATAAAATATTAATATATGGTACTTATTTTATGACTTAATTAATATCTATTGTACCTGCTTCACAAGCCTCTAAATAAAACAACATTTTTGCGTATCTCTTATCCTGGTGCATTTTTTGAAGTACATTCACTAAATCTGTAGCATACAGTAACTCTGTCTCAAATCGTACGAAACCTAGCAAGCACAAATAATTGTATATATTGTAATATTAATATCATATATAAAGTCAATTGAAAATTGTTAAAATTAATATATTTTATGCACGTACCTTGACCACCATGGTCAGTAAAATAAACAAATATATGGTCATCAGGGCCACTTTCTACCACTGGCTTTCCGGCAGCTATTAGCTCAGGGTCTCTCTTAAGGAGTCCTAAAAAGTTCTACGAAATAAAATAAAATAATTTATTATAATTTAATAAACAAGTACCTTTGGCGTAACATCATTTTTGATATAATGCTTAGGTACACCGTGGTATACATCAGGGCCATTTATCTGATTGATAACGATGTTTGGCGTGGGGTTTAGCTTATTATTAGCTAGGTCATCAGTGTGCATGACAATTATGTTCTCCGCAGGTATGCCATGATTTATGAACATGTGATACGCGTGGTATACATTTGCCTAGATATTATAACAATTTTATTTACAGTTAATTGTTGAATTTATAGTTAGTACAAAAATATATTTTTAAGATTACCTGGAACAAATAATTATCCCAACCACCATACGAGGAACATAGCACTATCCAACGTTTACCAGTAAACTCACTACTTTTGGACAACCCTGTAGCAACTATAAATACAACTGTTAATACTAGTAGGATTTTCATAGCATATTTAAAATGTTAAAAATTATTTTTAAAGGCTATTAATAAAAAAAATTAATAGTATTATCGTAAAAAATAAATTATTTATATACTTATTGAATTTGACAAAAGTGATAAGCTTGAATATTTTTTTGTCCATATAAGGCAATAGATTATCGTAAATATGTGATGCAGCTAGTTTAGATTAGTACATGCTGATAATTTATGAACAGTATTAGCCTAATAATACTATTAGATATAAAGTAAATTATCGCATAACTTTAATACATCATTTTGATATCAAAGTACTGTGCTAATAATCAATATTATTAATTTAGCTTTACCACATGCTCATTTTGTTATAATGATATTTCTATTACCTTATATGGAGTAATGAAATAAATTGATATAATAAGCTTAATTAATCTACACTTGGTATATAAACAAATTCCAATTGTAAGTATAATAAAATTGATTTAATAATAATTTATGTGATCCGCATCAATATAACTTAAAACTTACAAGTGTTACATTAAATATAAATATTATTTATTATACTTTTGACAAATTTATAGTAAATAATAAGAAAACTAATTTAACATGTGGACCGCAATGAGATTGATCATAATCACCATACTGGTTTATTTATCAAATGCAAATTCAATAGGACGTTCTCAATATGCAACTGAATTAAATGATCCTGGTGATGCAAATGTGTGCATAGCCACTATGTTTGAGGATGTATGTCCTAGACCAATTGAGACATTGAAACCAAAAAGTTATTATTGCTGCTTGTTATGGAATGAGCTAGATTGTTTTAAAGCAAATTACAAGGTAAGTCAAATGGCAACTAAAAAATATTTTACAGTTTGAGTATAAATTTAGTTTAATTTAAATAATTAATTGTTTTATTGAATGGACAGACAGTCTGTAGCCCTGAGGACGGCCAGGCATTTGAAAAAGTTTGCGGCAAAATAGAGGTGACAGAGGGTAGCACTACATATAGTTTGCCCGACTGTACTAAACATGGATATGGTGTCGATATGAGCAGGGATATATGCAAATTTTAAAAATTAAAAAATAATTAAAGGCCATGTTTAAATAATATACAATTTTTAGCAATTTATTTTAAAATAATTTTAAAATTAATGAATTTTAATATTTGTATTGACTACATGTTAAAATACAATTTATATATTATACAAAAATTAAAATTAAATATTATAACAAGGTATCAAATGTAAGAATACCTTGTGATATACACATAATAAAATATGTTTGCTAACATTTTGGTCAAGCTTTTAATTAACTATTATTATAATAAATGTCATAAAATTAAACACCAAGCCAAATAGGTTAGTAGTTAGAAATTAAATTTTCTATGGCAATTGTTTATAGAGAGGCAAATTAACCATGATAATTGCCGTTAAACATTGTATTAGTCCGCCAATACCGCTAATTAATAGCATGATAACGTCATTATTAAGTGTACCATAGCAACTGTGTACACTAAATACAATTGTAAAAATGTACCAGATTGTAAAACCGATATTGACATGATAGTCGCATATTAAATCTACTAATGTAGTGATGATTACAATGGCATTTAATATTAGCACTAAATATTTCAACAGGTAAAGTAGGGGTGTGAACCTGTTTTCAATAAATAATAACAAGTTAATTTAAATTAGCAAGTAACTATAATATTTAAATGTTAACTAGAACCTTACCAGAATACGTGATTACTTGGCATGGATGACATTACTTGAATGATTGATTATAATGAAATTTATACAATATTTAAAAACAAGTTTTAAGTACTTTATGCATATTGAATTATATGACTGATTAATAAATAAGCATATTTTGGTTAACATAAACCAAATGAAAACTTTTATAAAGTATTAATTTATTTAAACAGCTTTGAATCGTAATACAAATATAATAATGCTAAAATTTATATAAAAATAATAATACAATTGTGAGGTTTGTTTAAACATCTTATATTTGTCTATTAGTGACTGATTATGTTATATTAAAAAATACATATTAATCATTGATTAATAATCAATTTAAATTTATGTATCAATATAATGTATTATGAGAATAATAATTATAAAATAAATTAACAATTAATCAAATTGTTAATTAAAAAATTATTTCATGTTCATATTAATACTATAAAAAAATACAAACAAGTAAGTATAATAAAAGCTGTATTTTATTACAACTAGTGATCAATTAAATTATTAGTTATTAAATTAAAAATATTTTATAAAACACCAAATTATAAGCTTATTTACAAAATTATAAAATGTTCGTATGAGTATTATTAAATAAATACAGATAAGTATGAATGTTAACTTTTATATTTAATTAATTAATTTATAAATCAGCAAGCCATATAAGTTGGTAGTTAGGAATGAAAATATTTGTAACAGTCTTATATATAGAGGCACATTAGCAAGGATAATTCCCATTAAACATTGTATTAATCCGCCGATACCACAAATAAATAATGTAGTAAGGTGATCTTTATATTGTAGCAAAGTGTGAAAAACTATTATGTAAAAAGTGTAATTAATGGGTATTGCCTACCAGTCCCCTCTCCTTAGACTTCTAGACTTTTCTAGAAGTTTCTAGAAAGTTCTACATGTTAAAGTATACCCTATATAACTGCATTGATATTATGTAAGAGAGCTATCTTTTGGGCTACTGGTGCCGTACATTTAACAAACTGTATGTTTTTTGTGTAGTAAATACTGTTTAATGTAAAAATCTGAAAGTTATTGAAAAAATAAAACTAAATTTGCAAATAAGCAAGCATATTTAATTTATTTTAAACTGGACTTGCTTACAATATACAGTATTGGGTTTGTACATAGTAAGTTATAAGTGCTTTTAAAATTTTGTACATTAAATCAAGTAAGTTATTCATTTATAATATATTTATTACAATTTTTTGATATATAATTTATTACCTTTCTCATTTTATTTTATAGTATACATATAATGCAATTTTTGTGGTAAGTTTAGAACAGTTAAAAAATTGAATAAATATGTAAAATAGTTAAGATTGAATGTTAACTATTTAAAAATAAAATAATGTAATATAACATCTAAAATTTTAACAAATAGACGAATATATTTTTTTATATACTTAATAAATTAAATAAACTCATTTTCATAATAAGATAAAATATTAATTTTTATTGTGGATTAAAATATTTTTATAAAATTTAAAGAGACGAATTCTTACAAATATTGTAATTCAAATCAATAATAAAAATTGTTGTACACTATTTTATCAATTATTTTTTATATTTATACACTATTTGAAAAACCAGTCTGCTTGATTATTGGAATAGACGTGTATTAACCTTGCCTAATCTATGCTAACCTAACTTAATTCAAATGACCATTTGTCAGTTAGTTATTTAAGTTTAGGTCTTTCGGTTAGTCCCGAAATTAGCACATTTAGAAAAAACGTTCATTTAAAAGATATTAGTTGGAAAGTTTGTCAATAATACAACCTGATTTTAGCCAGTAAATGTTTAATAGTGTTATTTTATTGATACTTGAATAATCAATTTTTTGTGTTATATGAAAATTATATTTCCATATAACCGCTTCTCATAATAATAAATGTAATAATAAAATCTAAATCAAAATCATAAAACGTTTAGCGTATTAAAGATTAATATTTTATCTATAAATCAGTCAAATATTTGTATGGTACTAGGAACAATATTATGGAATTATAATATTCATATAATCAATGAACAATGCTATTTTCTGATATCTTTCTTTCTAACTATACTTCGATATATCCAACGGACACCACCGACGGCACCTAAGGTAGCCGTTACGCTTACAACGGACGCCCAGCCTAATGGTGTGAATAAAGTCAGAGCAGCAGCACCTGCACCTACCGCCGCTACAATGCCAGTTTCACGGTTGGTTTCCGCGTTACATGCCATGTCGTATTTATTTATCAAAATATCTTGTGTAATACAATCCATATTTGTTTGGAAATCGATTTCATCGATGAGCTTATTAATACCATCATGATAATTTTTTCGAAGCCCCGGGTAGATTTCCTTATCGCATTCAATGTGTTCAGAGCTGTAATTGAATAAACTTTTGTAACAACTGCGCTTGCTCATTTCTATCTTCAGAAGATTATCATACTCTGTTGTAAAATTCATTAGCTTATCAATCAGCAATTTAACTTTGCTGTAATATTCGTTAACACTATTGATGTAATCCTGACGAATATTTATGCTTGAAAATGTCGAGTTAAAATTAATTTTTAACTTGCCAATTTTAGAATCAAAAAGTTCTAAATAAATTTTAGATTTATCGGTGTGAAATTGTTGAATATCAACCATTATTTTTTCTAGTGAAGCATAATTTTTAAGATTAAGTATTCTGTTTAGGTAGGTTTTCATGTTGGTTACGTATGTATCAACAAAATAATGCTTAATTTCAACGCCACTTTCGAATTCAGATAATATGATGTTTAACTTTTTAAATAATTCTTTCTGAAATTTTATAATATACTCTCTAGGACAATTGGTTTTAAATGATTCGGTCTCAAATAATATAAAATTAGCACATTCTACGTTGTAAACGTCTCTGGATTCAATCGTATTCAAAAATTCTTTCATAATTGGCAGAATAATTTTTGAGGTGTTTTCGACAAATTTTGAAATTTGTGTATCGGTTGCATTTACTTCGTCAGACAAGACCTCGCGAAACGAAAATTCAAACTTTTTTGAAATATCTTCGTTAAAATTCGAGATCACCGATAGAGCTAATAGCTTTCGATTCTCGTTAAACGTACCCAGGTGCTCATTATCGAAACAATTCCACGTGCTTTTATGAATTAAGTTTACTAATTCATTAGCGTATTTTGAGTGTTGCGATAAAAATAATTTTTCAACTTTATCAAATTTTTGCATTTTAGATTTTAAAATTTCAATTAAAAGTTGTCCATAATTTTCACCATTGGGGCCAAGCCAACTCGAGTATGGATTTTGATCAAACTCGGTTTTGCATTTACTAATAAGTTCGTTATAAATTTCATTAATACCAGCCCTTTTCAAGTTATTGACCAAGTAATTTTTAAGCAACGGTTTCATTACAATGTGATATTTAGATAATATCTTTTTCATAATGTTTCCATTAAGATCTTTACTTAAAAGGTGCATATTAGTTGATAACTTTTGTAAATGCTCAGCGTTGTTTATCATTTCAAATATGTCGCAAATAAATTGCGCATAATCTGAACCTTGATCATATTTATTAAGTGACGATTTACAAATAAAATCTCGAAATTTTAGGCAGTAGTCAATATATTCATCAATTTTATCATAATCATACGAATCGCCTGACTCATCGCGTACTTTTGTTTCAGGATCAGGTATTAAATAACATTCAACATTTTTGAACATATTCTTAAGTTCAGCAAGGTCAATATTTCTGTCATCTTTTAAGCATTCCTTATATTTTAAATCACCATCAAAACCGAATTGATACTTTTTACGTTGTTTAATATTTGTAATAACAAAATACAAGCTCTCAAAACTTCCAGTAAATTCTTTTGTTAAAGTCGAGTACGCTTTAACCGTGTTGAAATTATTAGCATCCAGGTTCGTTTGTGTCAAGTAAACAAAGTGTGATGCCATCATGGCGGACAATACAAATAATTTTTGGTAACTAAATTTGTCCCGATTATCGCCGATAATACCCTCGACGTCTACAATAAAAAGATTGCATAAAAGTCGTTCGGGGTTTGTTTTGTCCACAATTTTAATTGGTCTTGGTGATATCCATATTCCACTAGTGCATGATTTGTGATCATCAGGTGATATTGTGAATATACGGTCAATGTTAGCTTGTTTATCGTAATTTTGTAATTGTAAGCCATAACTATCATTGTCAACTACAAATTCAACTTGCGAATTATTATAATTTAAAATATTACCAAGCGTAGATTTTCCAATACGTTGTTCGCCGCATAATAATAATAACTTGATTGGATTGTCGGCTATATCTTTGTTAGTAATAAATAAATCGTTAACAGCCTGCTT